AGTAGAAGTCTTCCATGAGGGTAGATAGAGACAACTATACTGTCGCTAGCATCTTGATGACGAGAGCATGCCCGTGTAGCATAAGCACATCGCCGTGTCTGTGCATCTGCAGCCCACATGAAGGAAGCGTGAAAGGATCCGGTGCATCCTTCGGTCCCCCCCGTAGAAGCGGAATTCCCTGTAAACTGCAAAAAAGACAAGAGCAAGCAGTTGACACATATAGCACATCATGCTATTCTTCCAATACTAATATGACTATCGTAGGGGTGCTAAATATATCATCTATACCCTTCTAATTTGGTGTTAGGGCAAGCAAGGTCAGCGATGTCAAGTACTCTATTAATTAGTCCACCGACGACACCACACCTGAAGTTCCCCAGGATGAACTTCATTCCCCGAGGACCAATCTTGAAGCCCCGCCTGGCAACATCCTGAATGGAATTCTCCTCGTCAAGCATGGAAGCGTCGACAAATGAATACACCACCAGACGGCGCTGAATGAGCATAAGCACAGTTGCAGTAGGATTGTCGCCGGATTGGCTACCAACGCCACGCCAATAACTACTTCTAGGTAGATGGTTGGGTCTATCGTTTAGGCTGTTAGGAATTTAAATGGTTGCTGTAAGCCACTCGCAGTCTCACCGTTGTCCGCCTCTCAAACTGGTTCACAACGGGGAGAGGTGACAGGTGCCAAGCATGGAGGAGCTTGACACGGGATGTCCTTGTATTAATCTGGATCATGTATTCCACAAACGCCCATTCGTCTGAATCACGAATCACACTTGCTATGTGATCATCCGAAATGCGGCTAAATCCCGCACCTTGAGCAGCCATTCCGTCTCGTTGGTGACAATATTAACGGCCAGAAAGCGTAAAATAATTCCATAGCTCAACTTGATACAACCAGGAAAAGGTTGTTATAGCAATGTGACACTACAGAGCCAATGGTCCACCTACGACACTTAGGAGAGCAGCCAAGTGGGGGGTTTGGGCCTAGAACGGGCGATCCTTATACCGTGGAGTGAAGTTTTGATAGCACATTACTTCAACAAGCTAATATGAGGTCACAAAACCTTTGAAGTAGCTCATAAAATCCAGTTCCTCATTCAAGGAACTGGTTTGAGGGGGAAAACAGCTTACGTGGAGAGCTCTGCATGGCCCATCGTTGCAGGTCACTCAGTGAAAACACTGCGAGGGACGGCAGGCAGAAAAGATCTGCCAGGCCACAGTATCAGGGGAGTGTGCAAAACAATGATATTTATGGCTGCACCCTCGCAACTGCCTGGTTGGGAGGAGGGAGCAAGATGGGTGGAGCAGCCCTAAGCAGCAGTCGACACGCACTGAGCAAACATACTGCTCACTGGAACCAGTTTGAAAGAGGTAAAAACCTGCCCTCCTGACAGTGCTCTTATTTTCAATGATGACCCGTTCCTACTGCCAATTGCAGTTTTCCCAAGGAAGTCGACGAGAAAGAACATTATCGTTGAGTTCCTGGCCGGGGCGCTATGCACAACCATTCTGCAAACGAAAGGTTGATCGAACCACTAAGTACATCTTCGTGCAGGCTTAACTTTGTTTTGCATATAAGTACTATTTGATCCTGCCCTTCAAGCGCAAGAGTGAAGCGTAACCCTCTTTGAGCCGACGCAGCTTTAGTTCCTGGGCCCTGTATCACTCTGCAAACACCCCGGGGATCTCAAGGCTAATCTTTCAGCGTAGCCTATCGGTGCGGATATATTAAAACGATCAAAGAGTGCACTGAATGGGAAGCAAGCACCGAACACTTTGGACCCGTCTACGTTTACCAGCCACAGTGGCAAACACCACGAGAATGTTCGTAGACTATTGGCGAACCACCTGTGTGAATCTTATATTAAAAATATAGGGTACGCCCACGCAACTTCTTGTTCAAGTTATGAACCTTGGTGAAGAAAGCTTGTCCCTGCTCTCTCCCTCTTCGCAGTGCCGAAAAGTTTAACGCCAAGCGTAGGGCAACGCCGCAGTAGTATTTCGTTCAACGGAAGGTGCAGTGATGTATACTAGAAGTGACGCGCTGCGAATTGAGAGATTCACGCTTTGTATCTCTCGTGCAGTTGCTAGCTTGCTTGTCTTGGCTATATCAGACTTCCATCACGACGTTTCCTCATGTCACTACGGCGCTGACTGGCACTGACTTGTCAGAGTAATGGGTTCCACTGGGTTCATAGCCATTAAGGAGCTCGTAATGCTCATTTCTTTGCATACCAGAAACAGCACAAACATTAGCGGGGGTTAGTACCGAACAAACAGTAATACTTTGGCAAGTCACAACACACCCTCATGATTGATATGACAAAGTATTACAGTAGTAGCAAATGGAAGTACTGGTAACTAGGTATCCAATCCAGTGATCCTCATTTGATTGGATACATGGGGTCGGCACAGAGACTAGGCCCTCGTCCAACTTCGTGCTGACATGTATAAACAAGACTCCTTAAGTTAGATTGTGTAGAGTCGAGATGGAAACAACCAGAAGGGCTACTACATGCTACGCAGCAGTACAACAACAAGCCATATTGAAATCTAAGTGCAGAAGTGGCGCTTAAGGCCGTTCTAGCTGCGCATATCCCATAGACGGCTTTACGCGTGCAAATGATATATATGGACGCAAAATTGGCCGCATCCAATTACCCTTCAGCAGCTCCAGTGGCGAATCCTATTGCCATTCCTTACGACGACACCTACAACCGCCGTCGAACAGAGAAAGAGTATCTGTCTCTGGCTCCCGAGCACTTGCAGGACCACTGAATGGGACTCCCGGAGTAACTTCGGCGGCAAGGCTGATTTACCGGCAGTTCGTCAAGGCAATGTCAGCTAGCCTTGGAGGAGCAGAGCCGAATTGCGACTACAGTTTGACCTATACTGTGCGCCGGAATATTGTGCACACACTGATTTGAGCCTTGGTAGCCTCTTGCGCTAGCCAACTGAGCTAGGCCTCCCTAAACATGTAGGAACATTTCGTGGACTGGCTCAAACAGTACGCGATAGGAATTAACGAAGCATCACAAATCTGTAAGCCTCCTCTGACTAGCACAAAAATGCCTAGAGGAGTTCAATGGGCTCCAAAAGCCATGTCGCTCAGCGAATGCCCTTAACTAAAAGACGGAGGAGCACGGCGCCTAGTGAACCCACCAGGGATACCATCCAGAAATGTCTGAGCGCATAACGTTAGAGGAATAACTGAGACACTCTGGCCATTATATATACTTGGTCTGCCGATACAGTGTGGGCAAGTGCTCACCCGCTATCCGGCTCGCCAGCAAGCCTGAGGAACTTCATAACAGCGGTGGCAACACGAGTGCCGGTGGAATCCTAAGATTCCGTGCTCACTGTATAATCTGCACTGCTAGAGAAGGGACTGCTTGCAGTGATTGCACTATGCCATTTGGCCCTGCAGAAGTCCCTAACAAATTGCAGACCGGGTACTCCTATTACGCGACGTCATTTGCCCCGATTGATAAGCTATTCGAGTGGTGCTGGTGCAGAGGAAATTCTGGCGTTGAGCGTTAACCTCAGTCCTCCGACTGTTTCAGGAGCCACATCAAGATCCGCGGGGTCCGGAATATGCGGAATCCCTTGCTGGTCGGCAAGAGCGGGTAGACGTCTTCAAAAAAATAGTAGAAGTGGCCGACTGCAATGCCAACGAGGTGGTCCGCCATATTCCAGCCCACCAGAAGGGATAACAAGGCCAGCAAGAAGGGCAAGTACGGAGCTTGCACAGGCATGAAGAAAATGGACAGTCGCGTGTTCGGATTCCGGCGACCCCATATGTAAGTCATGACGTTAATCATTGAGCCGCTAAAAAAGTACGAACTCACTCCGAAAATGTACGAGAATGCCTGCAAAATGAGAGGACAGAAAAGTGCCCGTTTCGAATATTTGGTGAGGGCAAAGAAGCTATGGAGGGAAAACTGTGCAACTCATCGCGTACTGCGCGATGCAACAGCTTCTCGAGAACGAGGTTTAAAAGATCTACTAGAGTAAGTGTATGCATTTTAAACGTACCAGAAGAAGCCCTCCAGTGCAGATGAGCATCCATAGGAATGTTGCACTACGGCGATGCTCCTCCAAAGTTGAACAATAGAAAATAAGGACGTAAACATTCCAGAAAAAGTGGAGAGAAAAAGTTCCGAAGAAGAGGAAGCACGTAATCAAGCGCCAGATTTGTCCGTGCGTGAAAACAAGCTGCCAGTTCATGTACAAGGAGAAGGGTGAGATGATCTCAAGCGTGCAGAGGGCCATCAACAGAGTGGAGGACACGAGACAGACTCGCGTCACCGGCGGGATGTGCGTAAAGAACAAGTCGACTTGTTCCATCTTCGGGCCGTGCACAGACTGCCAAAAGAAAGGATCTACGGAAGAAAAGCACAGCACTGGAAAATGTCCATGGCTTTCCCTGTGTTCTGGCGTCGCCGGGCTGACAGCAGACCATCTACCTCCCACACACAGGAGCTGCCCCGTATTCCCGCAAAATAAATAAATCACAAGGGCGCGAAAAGCTCATTCGAGCCACTCAGAAAAGAATGCTATCCCCGCGTCGGCAGTTAATATTTCACCCGATGGGTTGGCATGAGCTCGCGAAGCAAAAAGAATATCAGAAAGTCCTACAACCCAACCATTTCACCGCATTTGTGAAAATCCATAGAAATAAATCCCAATAATGTCCCGAATGTCCTCGCCTCTATTGAAGGCGTGAAGGCGTGAAGTGATACCCGTGGGACTGGAACGCATGCGGAAGACGGTCAGCGTAGACCTGCTTGATCATCGGGAACACGAGCCTCTCTTCGTATTGGTGCACAAAACTTTAGTAAATGCCGTATATTTAGCAAATTACTGTCTCTACACACTTCCTTCAGGGACAACCCTGCAAGCCCGCCACTGCAGCAGGCTTTTCTCTCCCAGACTTATTTGGACTCTACATCTTTTCCTGGACGATATTGTTTTAGACCCGAGTTGATTATTTTCGATCGATATCATGGACTCACTGTCGACAGACTGTCATCCGAAGCTTTATATATTGGCGCTCTATAAGTAGCTGGTAGAGGGGGCTCTGCACCCCCTAAAATATCTGAATATAACAGCACTAAGTAAGCCTCTCGTGACTTGCCATATTTCTTACCTATATATTCAGCTGATAATCTAAATAGTTGCAACTGCTAAACAACTACTGGGCGCATCCATGGCAGCACTTCGGGAAGAACCACTGCGTCGATGGCATTAGTACTTCATCCGGATATTTGGGCATCGCTATAGTCACCCCGTCAACTTTGCAAAATGAAGATTCTGGAGGAGCGGTGCGACACCATTACAAATATGGAAGTGATGCTCCTTCTAGTACAGCAACAACAACTGCTGCCGTCTGTCGAGTGTTTACTGCGACAGGCTAGCAAGCCAAGCTCAGTCAATTCAGGTAGTTCAGCACCCACAACTGTCTCAAATATGGAGCCTCGGAAATTCAATGATCGTGAGGACAGCGTCAGCTGGCAGACTGATCACTCGGTCGAACGTTTCAGTTTAGATCAAGTTAAAGAACTGCTTTACCAACATATGTTCAACCAGATGGTGCAGGACTACATTCGGAAGACATGCCCTTATCTACACCTCGTGCGCGCACCAACGGATGCGCGTAACCTCGCAGATCGATCAAGAAGCCATACAGCAGGAGTTAGAGTCCCGCCAAAGCGGGCACCAAGTGCTCAAGTTGTCAACAGAAGAGCCAGTGGAACTGGCGCCACTCGAACTGGGGGGGTGTCACCGCTAATCAGTCGGCGCTGTCGCGAGTGCCTCGACGTCCTCTTCCATCGTTTTGGCCTCACAGAATTGGAGCTGCTCACCATCCTGAATCTCGGCGCCTTCAAGCCAGTCGAGATATACATGTATCTAGACGACTGTTCAAGCAGGTTTGCTACGACACATGCAAGTTGCTTACACATTCCTTTTTGAGTGCTTCTATGCCCCTGTTTGATCCGGTACCTTGTTTACTTGTATCCAAGTTACTTTTACAGAATCTCGCAAGTGACGGGGAATTTCGCACGATAGTGTCCCCTGCTTCTGCTGTGATGTTGCGTGTCAGATTCACAGAGGAGGAGGCAGCAGAGATGCTTGGGCTGATTGACCTGGCTCTGGTGCAGCAGCAACCGCTTCCACCACTGGCTGAATGTGCATCAGATGCACCAGCCTCCATGGATGTTGATTCGCAAGCAGGAACAAAGAAACCAGCACTGGCTTCACGTGGTCCTGGGGAACTGCACGAGGAGCAGCCAGAAATGCAGGATGAAGTCACGGGGTCGGAGACACGGCAGAAACAAGCCCAGCAAGAGGCCGAGCACTCCACCGGTCTGCGGGTTGACGCCGAATCCGAAGAAACACACAGGAACGCACCAGACGGGGATCAGGAACAGCCCCGTGCAACCGTCACCGATAAGCACTGTTCGGAATCAGAGAGTCTGTTTGCACCTGCAGAGGACATGTTAACGACTGCTGCGCGCAATGCAGGTTGTGCAGAAACCGCTGCAAATGAAGCGAAGCCTCGTGGCAGGGCTGTGCGCGGTGCAGCCAAACGCCGCCCTGTGAGCAGACGGCGGCGCATTCTTGACGACTAGCGTAAGCTACGACATACCACTTCTTTTTCTGTCGATTGGTGCAGTTCATAATACCCGGATCGGGTTCCGAAATGATACCAGAAAACATCCGGTGAAATTAAACTAATAGTATATATGACAACACGTACGGGCAGTGCAGTGGTTACTTAGCTACATTGTTGCAGCCTCGCATGTCGTCCAAACCCACTCGGTTTGGAGGAATTGTTTAACTGCCCGCTCTCTGGTACGAGGCCACGCAAAATATGTTGCTGAAACAACTGAACGCACAGTAGGCGACTTCGTTAGTGTCGCAATGCGAGGCACCAGAATTCAAGGTGCAAGTGCCATTCTACAGCATTGAATCAGGGCATTCACTCTTTTGTTGTGAAGCCCATACTACGGTCGTCGATGACTTCCTCCTAATCATCGCCCCCTCCAGGGGATTCGTCGTTCAACTGTACCTCCAGCGAAAACGAACCATCAAGGGCGGCCATCAGCAGATCGTCCCGACGCTGAAGGGACCAAAACGTCAATCCCGCTGATGAAGCGGACTGCCGCATCTTGCCGAAGTCAGAGGGTACATATCCTCCAGTGACGAGGAGGCCAGAGCTGACATCCGGAAGGGGCGCAATACACCTTAAGGTGTCCTCTGACGCCTGAAAGTAGCAACAGCACACAATCTGCTTCCGTATACTGTATACAGTCCCACCTGCCAGCAGCTCATTGGTGGCAAACATTGTTGTGGTCCAGTTTAGCTGCCTGATATGCGCATTGCTGAACATTCGCCCACCAGAACCTCGTGCTAGTAGCACGAGGTTGGGCATTGCCAGTCTCATCTGCCTACAGACGAGAACCGCAATTGCAGATAGCTTGCTCCTGCACTCACCAATTCGCCTTCTGCCCAGCTCAGTACGACACCTGTTGTGGAGTCCCATAGTTTCAGGCCCTCATACAACCGGCTGCAGCCACAACGATCCGCTGTGGAGCCACCATACCCGACAACGAGCCCTCCCCACAACCGACACTTGAATGGCCAAGTAGCCCCCTCCGCACGGACGAAAGCAGGATGGATTGGACCGCAGCTGGCGGTAAAGTGAGATAGTTGTGGATGAAGAAGTGGGAATAATAGTGGCTTAGTTTGTGCTCGTGTGTCACTAACGGTGGTTCCTCGTGTCTCGGACATTGTTGTCGCGGGGGCTTTCGCTCCTCGCATTGAAACTGCTGGCGACTCATTGCTGCCGCCATTATCAGTAGAGCTCTCAGACACCTGATTCCAATCGTCAACGCTTCCAGCTTGGTGCTGCGTGTCACTATCCATAAACTGCAACACCTCCTTAGCAGCAGCACCATCAGCTCTGGCTGCAACAGCCTTTGAGCCCTGCACCCTTAAGAGATGGTCCCAGAAACGCTGTCTGCAACTCTGTGCGTAAGCACTCTGGGGGCCGTGCAGCGTAAAATGTAATAGACGGAGGAGCCCACCGGTTCGTCCCGCAGCCGGTGGCAGTGACGGTGAACAACATCTAGGCGGATCGATCTGAACGCCTGTACTCGGCTGCAGGCGAAGGCCTTTAGGAGAGTGGGAAAGGCAGAATGAATCAGTAAAAGCAACAGCACTGTCAGCGGGACTTTTTAAGTTGACAGCTCTGTTTGACTGAACAAGATTAACGAGCTGTGCGCGGTGATACGCGCACCGGCACCCATTCGGTAAATGGCATGACATCAGTCGGCCCTTGTGGATAGCATCCTCTGTGCCAAATTCGTCGTCATTTTGTAGTTCTGTCAAAGATCCACGTTCCCATCCTTTGCAAGCCAGCGTACGAAGCTGGAAACCGCTGGTGATATTCTGCGGCGCACAAGAGTGTCTCTGGCGAAAGCTGGGACCACAAAAACAACGGCATGCGCACTGCCAACACAGTTTGCAATGTATTGCTCCTACACCGCCGGTCTGCAAAATATACTTGGCGTTGGGCGAAAACTGAACGAAATCCGCTGCACATCCATCAGCGGAAGCAATTGTCTTGATGGCACGCAGACCGTCGGGAAGGCTGATGAGAATTGTCTCACCATCAGAACCCTCCAACATTCCCCGTATCCCGAAGTTCTCAGCAGGACGATACCGAGTTACAGATGCTGCCAGTAAAGAGCCATCCGGGGACACATCAAACGTCATGAAGAGTGAAGGGTAGTCTCTATCCTGCTCACTCGGCCCTAGGCGCTTTGCTTCCAGTGGATATGGGGTTGGGATTCCGCAGCCAGAGCCTCCGGAACTGTAATGAAATGGAAAACGAAGGTCAAATACCCGTATCCACCGGTCTTCGCGGCCTCCCGTGAGAAATAACTGTGGATGCAATGCCACTCCTGTGCCGATTCCACAAAGAGCACCATCATGTGCAGAAGGAAGACGAAGTATGGGGCACAACTTCGGTCCAAGAAGCTTTGCGCTGACGCCTGAAATGCGTGAGTCAAATACCATAACATCGCCATTTGGGGAACCAGAAAAAAGGAGAGGAGTGTTGGGGTCCCGGTTCACATGGACGCAAGGAGCATAGCCGTTTGGATTGGGCATATCACCAGGTTCCCCAGCTACCGGCATTTCAGAAATGAATGCTTCATGATTCATGTCGAAGGTAAGAATGGTGCCTTCAGGCGTGCACGCCAAGAGCAGTGATGGACAATACGGTGTAAAAAGGACATCGTTAACTCCCCTGAAAGACCGAAGGCCGGCGCCACTTTGCGGATGCGGCAATCCATATTTCGCCACTGGCAAAAGTGCGCTTGGTACCTTGTAATGGGGGCGGCATAATTCTAGTAGATGGGTGTCAACTGTAGCCCCCGCCTCAGCTAGAGACCCATACGCCAGAGAACAAATGGAGCCCTTCTGTTGCCTTTCCATTGTGTCGAGCTTGTTCTTATGCCGACAAAAGCAATGCATTCAGCAGCTACCAAAAGGTACAATTGGCGTCGAGGCCAGTTGCAGTTTTACTGGGCATGAGCTTGAGTTGCTGCATGACGATGTGCTGGCGCTGAGCATGCAGCATGGTTGCCGATACTTTCTTGATAAACGGGGGACTTCCCAAGCAACTTCTTCCCATATGACACATCTGCCCTCAAACGAAACTGATACATAAAATTATAAGTCACGCAAGTATCCTGCGTGCTTGAAGACAGCTGCTCCGTCCCCCCACGTCAATAGCCTGTCCACACCTGTTCACTTTGTCGAGGTGTGTCAAGTTTTCACAAGGGTAGTTAAACCGATACTATATTTTAAAAATAACTAAAAACTCCGTATCTGCAAACTAGAAGCTGTGCTAAGGTGCATCGGGCTTGCATGCAGCCATCGAGCAAACCGAGACGCCAATATGGTAGTACATTGTGCGCTCTCCGCTGCTGCGCCTACGTAGGCAATCAGATCAAGATATATGCTGCACCTAAATTTTTAATTACTAAAACCCAATTCATATCCCCATTATATCCCTAAACAGGCCTAAAAGCGAATACACAGTCTACCGTCAGTATATATATATATATATATATATATATATA